CCCACCGTAAGGAAAATTGAAGAAAGATATCTCATGGACGTCTTCCAAAAGAATGGATATCCACGGAATTTCATCAAAAGACATATACTTCCAAGCCAACCTATCAAACCAAAAGCCCCCAAGGAAAGCACAAAGAAAATCGCCCTACCATATATAAAGGATATCTCAGAAATCACTACAAGACTCTTCAAACCTTTAGGAATTGACGTCGTACACAAACCAACAAAGTCACTTCACTCAATTCTATGTCAATCAAAAGACTCAACAGCGAAAGAAGATAAAACCAACATCATCTACAAAATAGATTGTAACAACTGCGAAAAACACTACATTGACCAAAGTGGACGTCCCCTTCGTCTTCGTATCCACGAACATAAGCTAGCTGTCAAGAGACATGATATCCACTCCCTCATATCACTACATACAGACAACCACGGACATCAATTCGACTGGGACAATCAACGTTCAAATATTAGACAGAGGAAACAACAAGAATGCTAGAGAATTTTTAGAAGCTTGGCATTCCAGTGAATCATCAATCAATAGACACATCGAGATAGACAAAATTTATCAACCGATAAGAAAGAAACCTCACATACAAAGAGTCAAAGTTCAAGTCAAAGAAACAATGAGTGACAATACAAGTAACCTAGAAGGTGTGAAAACACACAAAAACAACCAATCACGTCCAAGGTCACCAGGAGAGATGATTAATAAACTCGTGGAGAAATCTCAAAGCTCACTTCAAATTGAAGTATGCGCTGAAGATGTCGCCTAGTAGGGTGATGAAAGCTTCGCAAATTAACTATCCAGCTCAGAGAACACAACCACATCAAAACTTATTCATCTGTCACAACGACTTTGTTATAAAGCTTGAAGAAAGCTTTTTAAATCTTTCCGCATAGAAATCATATCTAGTTCCTTAGTAGCACATGATCTAGTCTTCAAATATACATGGGTACAGTTTTGTTTCACTTGCTGGTATTTGAACGACAAAAAAAGGCTTTCAAGTGTTAGCTCTTAGGGATTTGATTGGTTTCAAGTTTGATCTAGAAATGAGATTAGTTAGATAACCAATTAGAACTAAAGAGTACTGAGCAGATGCTTTGTTTTAGTATGGAACTCTTCATGAACCAATGATTCCACCCCGGATTTAACCCATGATGCTGCTAGGCAGTGGTGCTAAAAATCGCAAATTGAATTCATATGCGATTGAATTCCATGCTAGCAGCAGAAAGGCAAGTGAACTCGCTTTGTTTTCGCTGACTGCTTGGGTCGTAGGTACTTCCTGCTTAAGAGTCTCCAACAAGAAGGAAACAGACGTCCAGTACACCTTGACTTTCAATATTTCTTTAACTGAAATCAGTTCGTGACTAGTCTTGAAGTCAATATAATCCCTGAACACCAACAAATGAAAATAAGACACTTAAAGATACTCTTGAATAAATTTAGTTGGACACCGTACTACACCAATTGAAGTTGTCTGAATTCTACCAATCTTACCCATATCTCATGCAGCATATTATGGATTCAGACACAGAAACACAAAGCGTTCAGGTGTTCTTTGGTCTTTAACTAAAAGGTAGGGAGTCACGCATTCGCCTCATCCATTTCCAACAACTTTACCTCAAAAACAGTCTTTCTGTAAGAAACATCACCAGGCTTAACAAAGAACTTGAAGCATGATCAAACCACGTTGATGAGCTGGGAAAAGTCTTTACCTCAGATAAATTCGTACTAAATTTATGAAATTCTCAATAAACTGAATCATTAAATACGACTGGATAGGTAATCTATTCCAAAAGTTCTATAGAACGAAAGTAGTACAGTCAGGACATTTGTGACAGTTACTAAAAGTAACCAATTATATTGAAATAAAATCTCCAGACAGCAATAAACAGCTATCTAGACTTGTCTAACTGTTGTTAAAACTTACTTCGTAGTCATGAGCAACTATTGCAAGCTCATTTCTCTGTTTTTTTCCTGTGATATACAGTCAAGACTGCATATTGGTTGTTACCAACAATGTACCATCTTACTGACAGACATGCAGGTTAAGTCGAAATATACAACTACTTTGATGAAAAGTATTGCAGTAGTTAAACACGACGGCACTAAAATATCGTTTGGTCTTTTAGATTCTTCTAGGTTACAAAGTAGAATGAAAAAAAACTGGCTGAAGAGGCCAGCAACTATGATGGGACACCAGGTGAACTTAAAGAAGGCGAAGGTGATGAAGCTGACAAACCAACAGCAACAATAGCAGAAAAACAGCACGAATCACTAACAATAGAAGAAATTTGAAAGAGGTCACTTCTTTCGCCTATCTAGGAATCATGGTTTCAACCGCAGGCAGTTGGAACGGATGAAGATATCAAAGCTAGCCAGCCAAAATCGGAAAGGCAAGTTACACCTTCATCAATCTGAAATCAGTTTGGAAATCTTCTACACTCAGTTAGCATAAAGAACAACATTTGGATTTTGTACAATACAAATGTGAGTTCAGTCAGTTAGTTCTTCTATACGGGTCAGAAAGTTGCACTGCGTGTCACGAAAGGTACTTACAACAAGTTTCAGAACTTTATCAACAGCTGTCTTCGCCGGTTCCACACTAAATATCAGATGGTAGGCCAGAAAGAAACAACTAGAAAAAACTTTGGGAACAAACCAACCAGAAGCCGATTAATCAACAATTATGTAGGAGAAAATGGAGATGGATTGGGCACGTGTTGAGGAGACCATCGAGTGACACTGCGCACAGTGCAGGTCATCGCTCGAGTGGCATCCGAATGAGAAACCACGAGTGGGTCGTTGGTGCGACGGTGACATGGAAGAGATAGTGTTAGGAGGAGGATGAGGAGGAGATGAGAGATTATTTGCGATGGTGGACTTAGTTGTATGGGACAGCAGATAATAGAACAAAGTTGAGATGTGTTGTTCGAGCCATATGCTCCACGCAGACTCCAAAGGAACAATGACAATAAAATCCTAAAATTGTTTGTACAAATGTTAGAATACTTTTATCTCCAATATTATGTACTTATAAAATTATAACTGTACAGTTCTGTAGTATATTTCATGATGCCGTATCTCAAGAAGTTTGAGCTATAAATTAGCATGTAACAGCATATTCTGAAATCCATTAGAGAAATTCATACGGCATGCAATAGGGGAATCCCTGAATTGCTAATCAGTGATATTTCTTCTCTTTGGAATTATAAAAGACTGATTAATGAACAAAGAATATTCTTTTCGACAACTTCTTTTACTTCATCAGTTTCTACAGTTTTACATTCATATTTAGAGAGGAATTGTTGTTATTAACGACACTGATGTTTCTTAAACATTATCCAGCCAACATTATCAATAAACTACAGTTGAAAAGCATCTGAAATTAGAGAGAGAATAGCCACACCGAGCTTGTTCAGGGACATGGAGATGACGACATTGTCGCTAGGCTACTCCATTACTGTATACAATGGCTACCTGTTTCCGCAGCCTATTCTGCTTAAGTGACAGGGCACAATGACGCGAGAAGGAAAGAATATTCTGCACCAGTAGTAGTATCTCTATAAAAGGAACCAGTTAAAGAAGATAATCCATAAAAAAGATGTATACATTTATCACCTCTACTTTAAGGAAAGACATCTCACTTTAGGTCGACCTGGAACCCCACCATCATTTCTCTCCACTTGGTTGACTGACGTTGATGGAGTGTACTTTTGTTAACTGGAAGATGCGGAGCATTCATGGCACCCTTCTTATGTTTTATCCGGTTTCCAGCAACATATTCAGTAGAAAACCATTGGTTTTTGCCTTTTTATCGGGAGATGAACGCCACTGTAGTTGGTTTTTGTATCGTGTTCCATTGTTTACCGATTTTGCAGTGTTTAACAACTTAGCTGAAAGTAGTTTAGGTATTGAAGTTTTGAATGCAGCCGTAGGTTTCCTCTTCATCAGTGCGTGATAATCTATGGCACTCTTGATAACATCTTGTTATTAGAGACGAAAGAGTCTGGCACCGATTTGTGATAATGAAGCACATGTTACGGGTTTCTTCGGTCAAAAGAAAAGGCGCAGCAACATCTTGGAGACATTGAGTCTGAACAATAAGGAGTTTTTGGCATACAAATGTTGACTGGTAATGGCATCTGTGGAGACTTGCCAAGGATGGCAGTTGTGAGTGTCGTTGTATGTGTGTGTTGCTGACTAAAACAGTATTTGTGTCCAGCCCCTTTGCAGTCGTAACACCGGTGTCACTTATTTGGACAAGAATTAACAAAATGCGATCCACCTTAACGCCAACAAGATAATAGAGGTCTCATATTCGGCGTTGATTGTAATTCCGTGAATAAGTAGGATGATAGATATTTGAAGAAGGATGAGGGGGTGTTCCACCAGAGGTTGAGATACAGAGGAAAGTGATGTTTAATATCGCTTAACTTCGTCAACAACATTATGAAACAGCTACCTATTTCTTCAACCCTTTGTACTTAAGCTACGTGACACAGAAAATATATATTAAGCCTCACTATCTCTTTAAAAATGAACCATTAATGTATTCATGTGTATACACGGCCAGTGACGTCAGTATGAGATAAGATAGTCTACAAAATGATGCGTACATCTATCAAAGTGATAATATGCATGAATAGAATACTAAGCACAATATCAGATAAATTAAGGAAGGTTATTCCGAATTTATGAGTTTCAGAATATCAGTAGTCATTGGATCTATTTCTTTCGCATGGTAAGCTCCGGCTGTTTTGAGAAAATCACTCTACAGGCTATCGCTAATTGCTTTGGTACCCAATTCATGATATTATCTTTATGGCCTGTGCCCAGAGCAACTGCGTACCTATACAGGAGCTTCTGAGTCGACAGACACATAGATAGAGAGATCAGAGATAGCTAGCTAGATAGATAGATAGATACAACAGGAGGTGGCTAGCTAAAATAGAAACCACCCACTCAATTAGCCTTTTTCTCTATTTAAATTAATGATAGTAAGTGACTCAACATTTAGCAGTATACCTGCATTAATAATTTATCACTCTGATATGATCCCTTAAAAAAATAACTATTTCGTTAACATTAATCTTTAGAAAGTTACCTAAAGGAATTAAGAATTACGATTTGGGTTTTTTATTCGTTATAGTAGGTTTAATATTCCATTAGCGGACTTTTTTAAACTGTTATTCTTATGCTTTTAAAATACCTATTTGATTTAACATAACTTCGGTGATTTTCTTCTCTGAGAGTAAGCCAACGTTTCGATTGACCTTAATCTTTAACATTGGATTGTAAACATTTCATATGATCAGTAGTATTAATGATAGTATTGAAGGAAAACGTGCTTAATTCGCGTCAAGATATATATATATATTGAGATATGTATGGTTAAAATAACTTCGAAAATTGTAATAAAATAAAATTCGTATTGCATTTCTTTTTTTCTAGGATAATGCAAAAAGTTACATGCGGGCTAATTCAGTGAGTAAAGACTTACAAAGTCGTATACTTCGATGGTATGATTATGCATGGTCAAAGTAAGTTGAATAGATTACATGAAATACATTTTTACATTGATATGATATGTATATATATGTATACTACTGAGATAACCAAACAACAGCCACAATAGCCAACACCTACCACCATCAACGGTAGAGATTGGACAGAGGTTGCCTCCTTCACTTATCTAGGAAGCATGGTTTCAACTACAGGCGGAACGGACGAAAACGTCAAAGTCACAATCGGAAAGTCGAGATACGCCTTCATCAACCTGAAACCAGTTTGCAAATCTTCTGTACTAACTCAGCCAGTATAAGGAAAAAGATTCGGATTTGCAGCACAAATGTGAAGTCAGCCTGCCAGTTCTTCTATACGAGTCAGGAACTTGGCGCCAGCGATATAGAAAGCATTTCCAAACTGGCTACTGCAGAATCTTATCAATAGCTACCTTTACCGACTCCATACTGAAGGACAAATGACTGAAGAGAAAGAATTAGCAACAAACCAACCAAGAGTCAACAAATATGTATGAGGAAATGTGGATATATCAGGTATAGGTGAAGGAGGCCATCGAATGACATTGTGCACAATGCAGGACATAGCTCCATTAGAATACTAATGGGAAGTGACGAGTGAGTTGTCACATCGAGGGTGACATGGAGGAGGTCGTAGGGCGAGAAGGAGATGACAGATTATAGTCATTCGTGGACCCAAGGAACTGAAGAGGAGAGAATAGAACAATGTGGAGAGTTGTTGTTGAAGCACTATGTTTCACTTGGAACCCAAAGGAATAATAAAATATAAAATACCTATTGCTGGGTTTCAACATAAAGTGTTGCAGATGGATGTACCAGTTCAATTCGTCACACTCCATAAATTACACAAAAGTAGAGAAATGATAGAAGAAAGTACCTTAGAAGGGCTGTAGTCAGTAGAAATGTCACAAAGAAGGAAACATTACATCGAAATCCTGAAGGCCTAAAAGATATGAGGTACTAAAAAGAGAGAGGTTGTGTGAAAGATTTTGATCCACATCAGTGATCTATGCACTTGAAATTCATATGGAATAGTTTGATGAACAGATCTGACATTCTTAGGTCAACCTATTGGGGTATACAGCAATACATTTCAACTAATCCAATCGCAAGAGTATACTTCACAGTGACTTATGTGAAAAGTAATAAAGACGATGAGGAATGAGCAACCGAGATCAACAATATCAAAGTCATCATCTAGTATATTAATTTTGCCATCATGTGTTGACGTATTGTTTGCGAACATAAAGCTGGACTAAATTTCCCAACGATTCAAGTCTCTATAAAACTTAGTTTACGTCATCCATGCCTCCTCCGTCGATTACATTTTGTACATATCTTTGAAAGAATCATAAAAATTCATTTTATTGCTTTGATTCAACAATGTTTTCCAAAATGGAAGGGTGTGAGTGCTCCTCTCCATTAATTATAGGTTCTGACAAGTCATAATGCTCCTAAAGCAACTTAGGACGTATATGTATCAGTACATGTATTGTGACTGTTGGGATTATTTTCCTAAATTACTTATTTTACGTGGATTTGTTTTTAATTTAGTTATTCTGACTCACTGCAAGCAAATACTTTTATTTATAAACTTGACCTCTTAATCATTTCATGGCATTTGATAACTCAAAATGTTTGGCTTCCTCGTGTGTTCAGCGGTAGAATGTTCTTCAACAACAAATGCAGTTCAGGGTTTGACTTTCAGCCGATACACCATCAAACGTCGTGATTACGAGTTGGTAGTAAGCCCAAAAAAGGAGAAGGGTTGGTGTTTAGGCTAGCCATACCACAGCTATGGAATCCTCAGAGCTTGAAATCCTTTGTTCACAATAGGCAAACAAAGAAATAAAACAAATCTGTCTGGCTTATTCAACCTACAGTTTAATCTATTTATTACTCTCCAGAGTAGGACTACTCACATTTCAAATTATGACATTTCAGTAGCTGTGGTGTTTTCTTGCTGCACAGAATGAGGATGCTTACCTTATATTTAACATCCTCTCTTTTCTTGAACTTCATACAGGACTAGGAGAGGTTTATGCGTGAGTCAACCAGAAATCAAATGACTGACTCCATGCATGGTTTCTAAGCACTTTGAACGACCAGCTAATACTTATTACTGTATAATACTGTGTAACAATGTACCAATGTGAAATTGATTTAAGAATAGAACTTGTGCACTGTGGTAGAGTATAATTTCATTGTGAGTGAAATTTATTTTGATAAAGTCTCACAGTGTTTGTTATATTGCAATATTTACTAATGACCACGTTTCGAGCACAATTTATTGCTTATAATCAATTCAAGGTACTCGCTGACACAGCTTTCGAACTTTTTTTAATATAATTCCATTATTTCCCATCGCTTGACTTGATTGATAGTAGTATTTTCCATATTTACGGCATGAGTGATGAGTCATTCCTGTTGCACGTGTTGTGTTGGATGTAGACTCGATGAACAAGGATTCAGTAATCAAAATAAATGATGAAATAAATCAGACAGAAGACGCGTTGACGTCAAATAACTATCCTATAAAATTCATTAGGAAGATCAAAAAAGGCCAAAAGCAAAATAAACATAATTGTAAAACTAGTAATGATAGCATAAATAAGAGAGAATATAAGGCATCTACAGTAGTTTCATCATATAAGGAGGGGACATCTGATCCTCCTTCTACGTAGGATTCTTAATAAAACAGAAATTAGATTGGCATTTAAACCTACAAACTCACTCGGGTAAGGAAAGCTTTGTAGGCTAAGGGACACGGTTGGTTGACCCAATCAGACAATGACTGTGAGTTAAGTCAACTACACGAGTCAAACTAGTAGATCAGGAGTAGTGAGATTGCCTGTCAGAACATAAGAATTTAGCTAACGTTAGAATGATTGAGCCCACCTGTGAAGATAAGTAGTTTAGAGGAAAACTCAGTAATAGCACTGCATGAATGCGTTAACACTCACAAACACACAACAGGGTGGGCTGGAGAGGGTTGAAATTATAATAAGTTGTTGAAGATGTTGATTAGTGAATCCTCGTTCATTGAGTTTACACCCAACACAGCACGTGCAATAGGAATGACTCATCACTCATACCGGGAATATGGAAAATACTACTACAAATCAGGACAAGCGACGGGAAATAATGGAACTATATAAATGTAGTTAGGAAGTCGTGTGAGTACCTTGGTATGATTATGAGCAATAAATTGTGCTCGAAACGTGGTCATCAGTAAATATAATTACTGTATAACAGTGTGAAACTTTATCAAAATAAATTTCACCCACTGAGAAAGTTCTACTCTAGTTTCACAAAAATCTTTCCAACTGACAAAAAAACATTTTCTCTATACATTTAAGTTTATTTTGTGCCATCTTTGAGACCCTACTCAGTACGATTCAGATGATAATGAAAATATCGTTTCTCCTAATGAAGAAAGACGGCCTTTAATTTTACTTTTTGTTATAAAATACTCGAATGAAACATTAAGGCGTCAATATTATATTTCTTCATGAACCAATGTCAGTTAAGAAAACTTTGAGATCCAATGGGACACTGGAGGGACGTTTCGTCGTAGTTTTGGTCACCTCACCAGTGCCTACAAACTACCCCATTAATCTCAGAACTTTCAGCTGACGAGGCCAGCCTGTGCATCATTCAACCTCTACTTTATAACCTCTAGTCTCAACTACCCTTTGGTGAGTTCCGATGAGGAGTCTCGGAAAACGACGAAACACCTTTCCATTTCTGATATAATCTGTAGTGAAATTAATCGAAAAAAACACAAACAAATAAATAAAATCTAACATCGGATGATCATTTTATTATTGTTTTTATGATTATAGATTCGTTCTTACACTTTTTTTTGTTGTTTGCTTTCTGCACTTACATCAACTTACTTTCGTTTTTCTAAAATAATAATTTTGATCAATCGGAAATGAACTCCAAAGTGTATACTGACAAGAAATGAATCTTCTGCCTATTTTCTCTTTCTCTCTGTACTCTTTTCATCAAAATTGGAAAAAAGAAGATTTAAAAACAAAAATTGAGACTTGTAAACAGAATCTGCAGGCAGAGAAATCATGCATGGCATGCTTTAAAGTTTCAGCTTATGTATATTATTTATTAGGGCTTTAACATCTAGTAAGTAGGCTAACACAATATGCATATAAACATATAAACAGAATAATCGTATTGGCGAGAACAACATTTCTAGGAGTGAAGCAAGCTTCACTTTGCCGTACAATGTACAATACATTTAATTCATTTCATTCATTCATTCTGACTGACTGACTGGTCATAAAAAGAATAAACAATCAGTTCGTAAATATTTTTGTAACCAAAATCATAAAAATTAATCTTCAAGTGTTCGTATGCAGGAATTTGATTGTTTACAGGATTTCATTATGTACTGACTGACATCAGTAAGAGAATCATTGGAGGAAAACCAGGGACTATTGGACAGCTGGTTGGTTTGTCTGGTTTGGGATTCCTCAGAAGTATGCATCCCCCTGAGTTCAAATTCAGGAGCCTCTGCCTACTTGAGTGAGCTCGTAAACATTTTTTTTGTTCGCTGCACCTTCCTAGATTACACATCTGCTTTCAACTCAGTGCCTAGGAACATTTTGTTAAACAAGCTTGCTGAAACTCAAATTGAGTATTGACTTGTCAAATGGCTGTATTCTTATTTCTCAGGAAGACAGCAGTACACGGTGTGTCACACAAAAGTCGTCCACTCCACTGCTTACTGAGGCTGGTGTCCCTCGACGTACTGTTCTTTCTTCTTTTCTGTTTTCTTCTTCTTGCATGACTTGTTTCACTCTGATGAAATTAACTTTGTTAAGTATGCCGATGATCTAACTATTTCAATGTCTGTTAACTCCCACCTAGACTGTACTAAGATGAACAGCTTTCTATCAGGAGTCAGCAAATGGTCTTCGTCTAACCGCCTTAATCCTTCCAAATATCAGACTGTTAATTTCAGTTTCCGATGTAAACGA